CCAAAATTCGCTTGATAATGCCGTATTTCGGTTTTCACGTTCGCCAGCAGGGGCTGATCAAATGACCTTGAGATTTCAATTCCCACCAGGAAAATCAATGGCTGTGATTGGCTACAGTGTATTTTAGTATGCTATTTCCTTAACTGTCTCAAGGACGTTGTTATATTGTATAAATAAACGAGAGTTGTATGCTTGATTGTACTGTGATTGCTGGGTGTTTGTAGAATATACTTCTTACGCTTACAAAGCCTTCTATTCCGGTTTTGGGTATTCAAGGTAGCCTTCCTGGAAGCTGGTAAAAGTCTCGTTCGCGTTTATCGACTAAGGTAAACTCGTAATAGCCTCAAGCATACTAAGTGACGAACTTATCACCTATGTGCCTTAAACAAACTGGTCATAGGCGATACAATATTCCCACATAGACACACACATGGATTTCATCGGATCACACCACACAGAAACAAATCGACCACATCTGCATTATTGAACACTTCAGAAGGACCATGGAGGATGCGAAAACCAAGAGAGGAGATGATACAGCCTCAGATCACGACTTGCTGGTCGCCAAGATGAAACTGAAACTAAAGTAGCCCTGGGCAACTGGGCGAACAAAAGGTTAATACGGCTTTTCTTCGGGATACGGACAAATTCAGCGAATCCAGGATAGCCCTCAGCAATAGGTCCCAGGCTCTTCACGATCAACTCAACGGAGAGAAAGCTACGATGGAGAACAACTGGAAAGCAATCAACGAGGCTATCGGTTCAACATTTTGTAAGGTTCCGGGTCACACGAAGCCCCATCAAAAGGAATGGATCTCTGTTGGTACTCTTGAAAATATTCAAGAAAGGAGGAATAAGAGGGCAGCAATCAATGTCAGCTGAACAATAGCAGAGAAAGTTAAGGCACAAGCTGAATACACAGAAGCGAACAAGTAAGCGAAGAGAAGCATCAGAGCCGACAAACGAAAATATGTGGAAGATCAAGAAACGGAGGTTGAAAAGGCTGCAAGAGAAGGAAACATGAGACAATTGTATGATACAACAAAGAAGCTCGCTAGTGAAAAGCAAGGAAGGCAAAGTAATCAGCAGCATTGAAGAAGAAACAGGTGAGTAGGGCACTTCGCAAAACTATTGATCCGACCAAGCCCACTGAACCAACCCAACATAGAAACAGCACCCACGGACCTCCCAGTCGATTTTTGCGCACCTACAATTGAAGAGATCGGCATGGCCACCATACAAATCAAAGCAGCCAGCCCAGACAACATTCCAGCAGAGGCATTGAAGGCAGACGTGGCGGCAACTGCAAAGATACTCCACAGTCTCTTCAGCAGGATTGGGATGAAGAACAAGTACCGACAGACTGCAAAGAAGGACAACTCACCGAAGAAAGACGGTGTGAACAAGTGTGAGAACTACAGAGGCATCACTCTTCTCCTAATTCACAGAAAAGTCTTCAACAGGGTATTGTTGAACAGAATGAAGGACTTCGTAGACGCCCACCTTCGAGATCAATGGGCTGGATTTCGTGAGGATCAATCGTGTACTGACCAAATTGCAACATTACGGATCACTGTGGAACAATCAGTTGAATGGAACTCACCACCCTATATCAACTTCATCGACTACGAAAAAGCATTTGATAACGTGGACAGGACAGCACTATGGAGGCTTCTTTGACACTACAACGTGCCTGAGAAAATAGCCAACATCATACGTAACAATTAAGATGGATTAAACTACAAAACCGTGCCTGGAGGACAGCTGACGGACTTGTTCGAGGTGTAGACCGGTGTCAGGCAAGGTTGCTTACTCTCACCCCTCTTCTATCTCCTGGTGATCGATATGACTCAACGTAACAATTAGAAACTCCTTTCGTTAATAGAGTGTATTTAAACCTAGATTTCATTTACTCACTTAATTACGCATGTTACACACAATGAAGCATAGGCTGCCGACCAGCATTCTCCTACTCTGTACTGAACCTTCCTTTCCGGTTTTGACCAGTTGTTGGTTCATTCACATTGTCTCTTTCCATATTACAACATAACGTGCTTTTGGTCTTCCTCTTTTTCTTTAGCCTTGAAGATTTCAAGTGAGGGCTTGTCTTGTGACACAGTTGGGTGCTTTCCTCAATGTATCACCAATCCAATTTCAGCGCTTCTCCTGATTTCTTCCTTCGTTGGAATCTGGTTTGTTCTTTCCCACGATAGGTTGTTGTTGATGGTGTCTGGTCAGTGGATCCAAAGTATGAAGTGGTGGAGGAAATTTTTAGTTCTCTCACCCTCCTGGCGATCGACTGGATTATGAAGACGTTGACATCTGGGGGAGAAGCACGGGATACGGTGGATAGCCAGGATGCAGTTGGACGATCTAGACTTTGCAAATAGTCTGGCTCCTCCTTCGCACACGCAAGAGAAAACGACCAATGTAGCGGAAGCCTCAGCAGCAGTAGGTCTCAACATACACAAGGGGAAGGGCAACACAGCATGCACCAGCCAAATCACAATCAAGGAAGAAGCTATGGAGGATGTGAAAACCTTTACATATCTGTGAAGCATCATTGATGAGCACAGTGGATCTGATGCAGATGTGAATACGCGGGTCGGCAAAGTAATAGTCACATGGCTTACCATCATATGTGATTAAGGGTTACTACGTCATCGCCCAGCGTATTATTTCAACCTAATACTTTAACTCAAGGTTATTCACTCCGTAGTCTCACCAAACGAATGTTGTATTATACGAATGTCTGTGAATTAATAGTAGCGACCAACGGTTGTCTACAACTACAATTCATGTTTCACTACTATAGATTAATACGAATCAAATTGCTATAGTACTTCCATCCATCACTTATTATTGTTTCATTTGAAACCATGAATCGATCAATATTAGATCAACATTAGAAACATGGAAGCACTGGACAGCCATTTCGTCCTGGTATGGGACTCCCCAATCTTCACAACAACCCCGTAATGCAAATTACCTGTGCTCACTAGTGACTAGCTTCGTAAGGGATCTCCGACTCCTAGTGGAAGGACGTGACTAGTGAAGTTCAACCTGTTCAGGTGTAGACAGTAACTACCGAAGACTGTGTATGGGGTTGTGCAACTCCGTGAATTGATCAAGTTAGACATTAACACCGTTAGATACCGGCTTGGTGGCTCGATCGTTAGGCATTCGCCTACAATACCTAAGGTCCTGGGTTCGAATCCTGCGGGGTGCAGGAGTCGTGGATGCGCACTGCTGAGGAGTCCCATACCGGGACGAAGCGGCCGTCCAGTGCTTCCAGGTTTCTAATGGTGGCCTAAAATTGACTGATTCATGGTTTCAAATAAGACTTAGCAATCTTCACAACAACCCCGTAATGCATATTACTTAATGTGTATAATTTTAACAATTTTCCCAAATTGTTGTTTATTTCATAAAATATAAACTTGACGTAAGATTATTCTTTACTGAGAAAAGGAATATTTAATGCATTAGCGTCTCAGCAAATTATCAGCGTCACAACAGATGCGTAAAGTTGAGTTTTAGGATCAAACATACGATTTTTGTACATACACGGCGAATCTGTCGGTTAACGCATTCAACATAAGTTGACGGTAATGGACAGGTGTAAAACGACAGATGTGGATTAGCAAATCTGAATCGAACTCGGCTATCTTCACAACAATATGATAACAAACACCATGTGCTATGTTGAGTCTTGATTAACTTCAAATGACCAGTCCATAAGGATTCGTGGTTAATGGGCGTAAGATAAATAGAATTAACAGTAATGCTAGATGGCCGATCGATATTGCGATCCAAATAAAGCTGAAATTCCGAATCTTGAGTTCGACTCCTGGTAAGGCTATTAATGCGTTGTCTGGTGAGCTCTGGTTGGTCTAACTAAAACCAGATCGTAATTTAAAGCCCAAAACATAAGTGGGAAAAGATCTTACTGTCCGCATATGTTTTTCAAGTGTTGGTCACCAGCGTTGTATTTAGTAAAGATCGCGACAAACAGTTCATTACCTTTCATTAACTTTTCCAGGATTTTTGATTGGGAGAGTTGTTGGTGATGTACTAAGCTTTTACATACCGTGACTTTCAGCGAAAGATACTGAGTCAACAACATTGATGTTCGACTAACCAGATATGTATACACCGATTACTGAACAATGTCTACTGAAATGACGTTAACTATACTGTACGAAGTATTCAAGGAGAGATAAGGGAGATGCCTGGCCACCTCCTAGCTAGACTCTCAATGCCGGTCGGCATATGAGTTGGAAATGTGCAAATCACGTAGCATTAGTCCATTAAGCTATTAACAGTTGAATTGAGCTGTGTTGGTAGATGCAGGCTACTTATTCGAGATCTGCCCGATTACCGTTACCAATGGTTGGGTATGACTCAGGAAAAGTCGAAATTTACAGATCTATCCATTTTTTCCATCCTTTAAATACTGAAGAATTATCTTACACCTCTTGTTCAACGAATTTTTTCTTCATACATATTGTTCATGTTTATTCTTTTAACCTAACACTGATGCCGTTACTACTTAGGTATTCATCTCAATGTGCCGAAACCATATGCCGACTAAGAGCGACGCTGTGTCAGTTTTTACGTTATGATTAGGTGAAATGAAAGGCTGAATTTCTAACTTAATATTCAGTCAAAACAATGCCATCGAATTTGTTGAGTCATTTTTGAAGTGGCTTGTTCTAATTCAAATTATTTGATGTAAACGTATTGCTTTCTAGCTGTTTCGCGTTGATTTGGTAGAAATCTGATTCACATAACCAACCTTGAAAGTAATGGTATTTTGTAACAGGAAAAAAGTATTAGACTATGGCACATAATATTGTAACAATAATTCAATATCATTTGTAAAGTTAAGTTAACCGAAGTCAGAATCAAAGTATAATAATGTTGGGGAAGAGAAATGAAAACTGGAGAATTTCTAATATACAAGGTAATATTATATATATATATATATATAAATTTATTTACATTTTCTTAATTTGTTTTTTAATTAAAGCTAAACGCTGTTTATGTGCTTCAGTTGTAAAACTTTTACGTATAATTCGTTCTTCAGTGGCAAAACCTGGCACAATAACATTCCAATCACGTTCTACATTGGATGAAGAGAAAAGTTATTCACCAATGTTTATTTACAATTAAATTAGCATTAAACCGTAAGACATTATTGTGAAAAAAAAACATATTTCAGTATAAAAAAACTTTGATGAATAAGCAGATAAGTGTCTTCACTTTGAATAAAATAGTCTACTACCGTTAATCAGATTAGTTGAAAGCATAATATTGAGCCGGCTTTGAATAGCTCCTCATTTAGTCAGAAAGAACTCCTGAATTTTCACCATCAAACTTAGGTAATTGTGAGTTTTCGTGTGACCAATGAATTTTTCTATGTTGCTTTACTCAGTGTTAAACCGAACGATGTACAGTAACGAATTCACTTATACTTAGTTACTTACACCACTTACCCCTGGTGAAACATAACCCAAGGTCTGAGGGCGGAGTCGTACTGCTGACTGCAGAGGGGTGTGACAGCAGTGAGGCGTTCCCCTCGGACAACCAGCATCTGCAGCGATGCTGCCTTCTCACAAAGAAGGAAGGGTTAGAAAAGGTCGGCCCTAAAAATGTCACAGCTCCCCTAACTCATGGATTTCCGTCTCCTTGGGTAAGGGTGCCCACTAAGGGCCTTTAAGAACGGAGCTAATACTCAAAAAACATTTCAGAAAAAGGCCGTGCGTGACCGGCCTCAAGCAGTTGTCCCTTGGACTCTGCGGTCACGCACCAACACTAATCTATCTTCCTTTTCAGGTCTCTCAAGAAACAACCTTCCACGGTGTGGGCAGCCGGGAAGTGACAATCGCCCTCATACCCGTAACAGCACGCGAGATCAAATTGGTCCTGTTGACCTGGCGACCTCCAAAGTCGTCTCAACGTTGGACTCAACTAGATCACATCGCCATCAGCCACCGATGGAGGGGTTCGATAGAGGACTGCCGCTCGTTCTGGGGCACATGTTTGGATTCAGATCATGCCCTAGTGCGAGCGCGTATTTGTTTGAAGCTTACTGGGCGTAGGAAAGACACCGTAAGAAAGCCTCTTAGGGTTTTACTTAATGATAATAAGGCGAAAAATATATTTCAGGAACAACTAGAAAGACAGTTAGGCGACCATTTAAGCGATTCCCATCCGGAAGCAGGATGGAATGATATCAAAAAGGCTGTGGAAACAGCAGTGAGTGATATCTGCTAGTAAGGTTGACCATAAGGCTAGAATGAAACCGTGGATCTCAGTAGCATCCACCGATCTGATGGATGCCCGAAAACGCATCCAACCTGGCTCTGAACATGATGAAGAGCGTAGTCAACTTAGGCGCATACTTATAAAAAGCCTACGTAACGATCGCGAACAGTGGTGGGTGGCGAAAGCAAAAGCGATGGAAAAGGCAGCGGCGAAAGGCAACAGTAGACAACTTTTCCGCCTTATTAAAGAAACTGGTATTAGGAATCCTAGTGTAAGTGGGACTATCTCGGAAAAGGATGGTCTTATTATCCATTCTCAATCCAGGAGACTGGATCGATGGGCAGAACACTTTAGGGACCAGTTCAACTGGCCTCGAGCCACTCTTCAGTTACACACGATCTCCAGTCATCCTGAATGGCGAATCGACCTAAGTCCTCCTAGTCCTAATGAAGTTGAAAAAGCGTTAGGAAATCTGAAGCGAGGACGAGCTGCAGGTCCTGATAGACTGACCCCTGAGATATGTAAGAATGGTGGTCCAGTTATAGCAGCTAGATTGACTGAGATCTTAGGTAGAATCTGGGAACTGGACGTAATCCCATCCGGCTGGTCTCAATCACTGATTGTCCCAATCTATAAGAAAGGACAGAAGTCTTCTTGTGACAATCACAGGGGAATAAGTCTAACTAATATAGTATCTAAAATATTGGCCTCAGTAATACTTCGACGCTTAACGAAAGCTCGTGAAGAGCAAACTCGAGAAAACCAATCTGGTTTTCGACCTGGACGTGGCTGTATAGACCACATCTTCACACTCAGACAGGTCCTGGAACACAGACACACATTTAGGCGTCCTACAATAGTTGTTTTCCTGGACCTTAAGGCGGCATTTGACTCTGTGGATCGTGAGGTTCTGTGGCAGTGTCTGTCATTGAAAGGTGTACCAAAGAAGTACATTAACCTCATACAAGCTCTCTACTCGAACACCACTGGTCGAGTGAGAGCTTATGGCGAACTGTCACCGGAATTCTCTACTTCAAGTGGTGTCCGTCAGGGATGTCCACTTCTCCATTCTTGTTTAATTTTATCATAGACATGCTCCTAGAAATAACCTTATCCTCGTCTGAATTTTCTGGAGTAGACCTTTTACCAGGTGGCTCGCTTATTGACTTAGAATATGCCGATGACATAGTCCTACTTGGTGAAGACGCTGACAAAATGCAGAGTCTTCTGACTACCCTAAGCAACAATGCAAGCATGTTCGGGATGCGGTTTTCCCCTCGAAATGCAAAATGTTGCTTCAAGATTGGGTTGCATCGGCACCTGAACTAGTGATAGGGAGTGAAGTAGTCGAACGTGTAAACCGCTTCACTTATCTTGGGAGTCTCATCAGTGCCGATGGCCTGGTGACTGACGAAATCTCGGCACGGATACAGAAGGCTCGATTGGCTTTTGCCAACCTGCGTCACTTATGGCGTAGGCGAGATATCCGTTTGCTGACTAAAGGACGAGTGTACTGCGCAGTGGTTCGCTCCGTCTTACTTTTTGGCTGTGAAACATGGCCAATGAGAGTAGAAGATACTCGTCGGTTATTGGTTTTCGAACATAGGTGTCTTCGAAGCATTGCTCGTATACCCTGGGACACCCGAGTGAGCAACGCTGTTATTAGGAAACGGGTACTAGGTAAGAACGGCAGATCAATCGACGAAGTGGTGAAACTTCATCAGTTGAGATGGTTGGGACACGTGTTGCGTATGCCTAACCACCGACTGCCTCGTCGAGCCTTGTTTTGTAGTGTAGGAATAGGTTGGAAGAAGGCTAGGGGCGGCCAAACCGAAACATGGCATAAATCTATGAAGTCATTGACGAGTGGACTTAGCCATGTCGGTAATTGTCGACTACCTGGTTGGGGTCCGCGAGATGATAATAATCGATGGCTAGAGACCTTGAATGACATGGCTCAAAATCGTTCGCAATGGCGCCGGTGCATTTATTCTTTGTGCTCTCTCAAATCCTAATCTTTTGGGTTCTTCAACACCTCTAGTTTTTTCTTTCTAAACTTATCTGATACTTCTTGACTAATATCTTCTAATCCTAACCTCTCCGATTACTTCTAATACCTTTACTACCTCTTCTACTATTGGATTTGAATTGACAATTATATCTCTGTGCTGATGTAGTCGCTCGTTCTGGGGCACATGTTTAGAATCAAATCATGCCCTAGTTCAAGCGCGTATTTGTTTGAGGCTTACTGGACATAGGAAAGACACCGCAAGGAAACCTCTTAGTGTTTTGATAATGAGGCTAAGAATACATTTCATGAGACTTAGAATATGACGATGACATAGTCCTACCTGGTGAAGACGCTGACAAAATGCAGTCTTCTGGCCACCCTAAGCAACAATGCAAGCATGTTCGGGATGCGGTTCTCACCCTCGAAATGAAAAATGTTGCTTCAAGATTGGGTTGAATCGGCACTTGAACTAGTGATAAGGAGTGAAGTAGTCGAACGTGTAGACCGCTTCACTTATCTTGGGAGTCTCATCAGTGCTGATGGCCTGGTGACTGACGAAATCTCAGCTCAGATACAGAAGGCTCGACTGGCTTTCGCCAACCTGCGTCACTTATGGCACAGGCAAAGGACGAGTGTACTGTGCAGTAGTTCGCTCTGTCCTGCTATATGGATGCGAAACATGGTCGTTAAGAGTAGAGAACATTCGTAGGTTACTAGTCTTCGATCATAGGTGTATTCGAAGCATTGGTCGTGTATCCCGGGACAGCCGAGTAAGCAATGCTGTCGTTAGGAAACGAGTTCTAGGTAGGGATGGGAAATCAATAGTTGATGTAGTGATACTTCATCAGTTGAGATGTTTGGGACATGTGTTGCGTATGCCTAACCACCGACTGTCTCGACGAGCTTTGTTTTGTGGTGTAGGAGTAGATTGGAAGAAAGTTAGGGGCGGCCAAACCAAAACATGTCAGAAATCCATGAAGTCACTGACAAGTGGACTGAGTCATGTTGGTAGATGTAGACTACCTGGATGGGGTCCGCGAGACGGAATTCACCAATGGTTAGAGACGTTGAACGACATGGCTCAGAATCATTTGCAATGGCGCAAGTGCATCCACTCTTTGAGCTCTCTCTAATTCTAAACTTCTGAATTCTTCATCATCTCTATCTTTCTCCTTCTAAATTTGTATCACTGAATTACACTTTTCGATTCATATCTTTGCTCCCTCATCTTCTTCATTGGTGCTAATGATTCTACTATCGCTATCATTCTTAGATTTGAACTGACAGTTACGTCTCTGTGCTCACGTGGTATGGCAAACTGAACTGAAGTTCTTCGTTGTATGTGTCTGTCTATAGCATTTTATGGCGTTCATTGTAATGCCCTCTCTCTCTGTTTCGAAGGATGCTTTGATGATCCTGTGTCCATGAGATTCCATCGTTGCCTTTTGTACTTGTTTGGATAGCATTAATGTGACTCCTTTTGTATGTGGGGCATTTCCCTCTTCATGATCTGAGTATAACAGCAGCACTGCTGAAGCTGGTCCTAGTTGTTCAACCTGCATCCAATACGTTTCACTGATTCCAAGCACCTCCAGTTTGTATCTTTTAATTTGTTTGGCATTTTGGATGGCTCTCCCGGTCTCCCACATTGTATGAACATTCCATGTACCTAAATTAATGATTGCTCTGATTGTCAGAAGGGGCATCGGTCCCGTGACTTCCGAAGGAACTCGGCTTTCATCATGAGACGTCATAACTCTTTTGAATGAAGAAGTTCTTACTCCCAGGGCAGAGTTAAAATGGTTTGAGTTATTTTTTCTGGTTAGCGTGTTTTAGAGAGTTAGTTTTCTACGAGGTCGAGATTTCCAACCCTTCGCCCAACTCTCCTGCTTTTCAACCCTTGGGACGCGCAGGAGTCCCAGAGGTGCTTCGTTCGGAGGTGCAGGTATACTAGTAAAGCTTATTTGCAAGACACTTTAATAGGCGTTAATAGTGTTGTAAACGATTTTTGATAGCTTACACAGTGTTGGTGTTTGTTAAGTTTTGTATACATTCCCAGCACTGAATTGAATGTAGAACCTATAACCAACCTAGGAAAACGTTTTGTACGGCTACATAACAGAGCGAAATAAGGCTAAATTTTAGAAAACTCTACACAATATACGATTCAGCTATTACCGTGATTTCCATTTCTCTATATATTCGAAGTATGATTATCTTGAATCTGATTGGTTTTATGTAACAGTATACTCTTATCATTTGCCTGTTGTAATGAGCGCAAATACAAGATGATTATTTATTTCTTTTACCTTTGCTTTCATAACTGATCAATCTTAGCTGGATATTTCATGAACAAGTGATAGTCTTAGTTCATCGGATTGGCATCTACTTGTCTTTTAATAGGTATTCCAAATGTGGTTCTGTGATGGGTACCACTGATATGCGTTGTGAGAAATGGTTACAACTTCTAGTTCCCCTTAAATATCATGGTCCTACTCTTAACTTCTACTCCTGGCTGTTTCAGATAACTTATCATGACAGAATATTTGTTTGTAAATTTAACTATGTAGAAACGTGTCCAGTTTTAACCCTATTTAGAATGCACAGTATTATTGCCTATTTATGGGGGAAAATTGTGTAATTGAGATGCAATGAAATAACAATAAAAAATGTTAAAATTTACAGAAAATTAAAAACCTACCCATACAAAATACAACGTCCTTTGCTTCAACATTTGATATGCCCCTATGTGAAGCAAGTTGTTGAGCTTTTTCTGCACAATTTACAATAAATTCATTGGCTAAATTAGTTATGACCTACGAAAAATGGGATAAAAATGTTGGGTAACAAATATTCGCCAGAGGAGCGAATGAACAAAATTGTCATCTTTTACGCATAGCAGAAACTATAGAAGGGGTTAAAGTTAATCACTGAAGACTCTAGATTTAAAGGAAACTAGTAACATTCTGTTCCCGCCTATAACCAGACAAAACAATTGTTTTGTTCATTTTCTTCCCACTTCTTGTATTTGATTATTGATACATTCATTGCCCCTATATATATATATATATATATATATATATATAATTATTTAATCCTATTTTGTTATCACTGACTCATAGACTTAACTGAAGATCATATTGTTCTCTGGTGCTTAATGATCTTATATCTTTTTAAAACAGTTGATTATCACAACTAATATGAATATGCTAACAACATCGATTTCATCATTTAATACAGAAAGAAAATGGTACTGTAGGAGCGATCATTTCCACTTAGTCAAGATATATGGGAAGATTAAAGAGAGAAAAACAAATATTTGTGACATTAAAGTTTAAGAACTTGTTACAGCTCAAAACCTTAAGATATATCACAGAACACGATAGTGTGAATGCAAATGCAACAAATACATTTAAGAAGTATACCATAAAAGGTACTTAACCTTTCAATTTTGGCTGCACATACTTCTACATGACATCAGCTAATATTGAGTATCATATGAAGTCTATAACCTTTCTATCTACAGCTACTTAACGTAGCGCAAAGAAAAGTAGTGGTGAAGCATCTGGAAAAGTCGAAGTTGTACGAATGTTTATTTAGTGTCATTTATGAAGGTGTACATAGTACGAATTGCATTTATTCCCTTAGCTCTCACTGAAGTGACTGTTACTAAACTGTAATATTAATGTGTACTTTATTTATAATGTGACTGATTGTAAAGAAATCTTTTATGAATTACTAGTTACTTAAATACATTTATATGATTGCATTGGATACTTTCACTGCATGGATTCATATGGAATCACTGCCGATTTTCAGGTGTCACTGGTAATTTGTATCCGTTTTTTTCAAAAAGACAGAGACTAATTTTCACGATCTCATTTCCACTGCTTGTTTGAATATTGATAGGCCTATTAGGCATATGTGTATCTTGTGCGGATTACCTCGATACTGCGATTAGTTTGCAAGCCTTATTAGCAGAAGTGCATAGTAGCTAGTAATTTAATCGAAGACTCGTCAGCTGGACGTCTCAAACAAGACGAAAGGTGCATCGTGGATTCCACTGCTAGCTGCCTTTCATCTCTGCTAATATTGCTTGTTAGTTTTCATGTCACTAATTTACTATTTGACAGGATGTCCACTTACTCCATTCTGTTACAATTTTGTCATAGACATGTTGCTAGATATAACATTATCTTTGTCTAAATTTTCAGGTCCGTCAGTCAGTTGCAACGTAGAACTTCGTACGTATGTACATCAGTTCAGGTTGCCATACCACATTAACACAGAGACGAAAATGTCAAATCAAATCCCATAGTGATAAACATAGTACAAGTATTAATGTTATCAAAGAAGACTAGGGTTTGAAGATACTATTCAAGAAGTATAATTCAGTGAGATAAGGTTAGAAAGACAAAGGTAGAGGTGCTGATGAATCCAGAAGATTAGGATTTGAGAGAGCTCAAAGAGTGGATGCACTTGCGCCATTGCAAATGATTCTGAGCCATGTCGTTCAACGTCTCTAACCATTGGTGAATTCCGTCTCGCGGACCCCATCCAGGTAGTCTACATCTACCAACATGACTCAGTCCACTTGTCAGTGACTTCATGGATTTCTGACATGTTTTGGTTTGGCCGCCCCTAACTTTCTTCCAATCTACTCCTACACCACAAAACAGAGCTCGTCGCGGCAGTTGGTGGTTAGGAATACGTAACACATGTCCCAACCATCTCAACTGATGAAGTTTCACCACTTCATCTATTGATCTGCCATCGTTACCTAGTACTCGTAAGAAGTAGACCATCTACCAGGTGGCTCGCTTATTGACTTAGAATATGCCGATAACATAGTTCTATTCGGTGAAGACGCAGACAAAATGCAGTCTTCTGGCCACCCTAAGCAACAATGCAAGCATGTTCGGGATGCGGTTCTCACCCTCGAAATGAAAAATGTTGCTTCAAGATTGGGTTGAATCGGCACTTGAACTAGTGATAAGGAGTGAAGTAGTCGAACGTGTAGACCGCTTCACTTATCTTGGGAGTCTCATCAGTGCTGATGGCCTGGTGACTGACGAAATCTCAGCTCAGATACAGAAGGCTCGACTGGCTTTCGCCAACCTGCGTCACTTATGGCACAGGCAAAGGACGAGTGTACTGTGCAGTAGTTCGCTCTGTCCTGCTATATGGATGCGAAACATGGTCGTTAAGAGTAGAGAACATTCGTAGGTTACTAGTCTTCGATCATAGGTGTATTCGAAGCATTGGTCGTGTATCCCGGGACAGCCGAGTAAGCAATGCTGTCGTTAGGAAACGAGTTCTAGGTAGGGATGGGAAATCAATAGTTGATGTAGTGATACTTCATCAGTTGAGATGTTTGGGACATGTGTTGCGTATGCCTAACCACCGACTGTCTCGACGAGCTTTGTTTTGTGGTGTAGGAGTAGATTGGAAGAAAGTTAGGGGCGGCCAAACCAAAACATGTCAGAAATTCATGAAGTCACTGACAAGTGGACTGAGTCATGTCGGTAGACGTCGACTAACTGTTTGGGGTCCGCGAGATGATAATAATTGATGGTTAGAGACGTTGAACGACATGGCTCAAAACCTTTTGCAGTGGCGCAGGTGTATTTACTCTTTGCGTTCTATGAAATTCTAAACTTCTGAATTCTTCATCATCTCCATCTTTCTCTTTCTAAATTGACCTCACTGAATTATAGTTCTTGATTAACATCTTCGAACCCTAACCTATCCGATTACTTCTAATACTTTTACTACCTCTACTAATATGGGATTTGAATTGACAATTATATCTCTGTACTAATGTGGTATGGCAACTTGAGCTGCTGTACTTACGTGCAAAGTTCTACGTTGCTGTTGATGTCCACAGTTCAATAATATTAAAAGTACAACAAGCATTGTAAATAAAAAGGGTTAACACCACTGTGAGTTTGTAATTATGATGACCAGTTTACCTGGAAGTTTGCAATTATTAGAGTTATTTGGACAACTAAAATTCCTGCAGGTGCGATTATTTAGTATTTACTTCTTAAAACCACTTTACACGAACAAACGTTTTTCATAGCACTAACGTACAAACCATTATAGTTAAAAGTGACTAGCTGCTACCTTGACGTGGTGATCGGACTTGCCTATCGTGATCACCCAACCGAGCCATATTGGCTGGAACATATGTTCCTGAAGGTCCTACCATGCCAGGCAGGTCGATTGGAGAACGATGAGACTAAACGGTCACTCAAGGTCTAAGAGCGAAGTCATACTGCTGACTGTCGAGAGGTGTGGTAGCAGTAAGGTGTTTCCCTCGGGCGACCAGCATCTGCAGTGATGCTGACTTCTCACAAGGAAGTAAAGGGTTAATTTAATTGTCAATTAGTCATGGACTGAAACCACATTTTGGTCAGGCCGCCACTAACTTTCTTGCAACTTGTTACGAAACCAGAGAGCATAGCCTGTTGAGAAAGACAGTGGTTTGACATATGTAGTATACATTTTCCAGCCATCTTGGTTCCACGATCATGACAGTTAGAAGGAATGTAAGGATAAGTGAAAACAACTAAATATGAAAAGGCAACCACAGTCAAGGTTATTAAAACCAAATAACTCGGCACTCGTAAAATAATTAGGAGGCTCACTTTGATATGAAGTAGGTAGTTCCAATTTTGTGCACAACGACAATAAAGACTTAACAACTAAACCCTTCAACTTACAGAACACAACATTGTCTTTTGTATTTTAAGAACAAGCAATAAATTCATTAGTAACATACCTCTTCAACATCAGGATCTAGTTGTAAATGAGGCTCAAACTCATTCAGCAGCTCAGATAAGGAATTTGATGTGAAAACAGAATTGGTTTTCTCATCAGTGATACACTTTGAATCGAGAATTGTTTGACTATTTTCAGGTGAACGAGGTATTTCAACGACAGTAACCCCAGTAGTTGAAGCAGATGGATTGCTAGTTGAACTTACATTGGGCACAGGTGTTGTAACTGGAGCTGAAGTAGGAGTACCATTTTGTATTACCGATGTACATTCATCTTGAACTGGATATGTTGCTGCTTCCTGAACAGGTAGATTTGAAGTAGAGACAATGACCGGTTGAGAAACAGACGGTTTTGTCTGCGAAATTACAATGTCAGAAGGAAAGTTAACAGGTAGACCTCTAGGGATATTTCCGGCTGCGACAAATGAATTACCAGAGTGAACTGGTTGTATGGGTGAAGATACAAGTCCGGGAGGTCTGACGGATGACAGATTAATCAACTTGTTTTGTGCTGCAGTATTGCTAAGATTAAAACCTGTTGAGTCCAAAAGCACCTGATTCATAGATGCTATTCCCTGAAATCCAGTATTTGTTGTGAAACAAGCTGTTCCTGGACGCAAATGATTGTCGACAATCTGGGCGATGTGTACAGGTTGGTCAGCAGATAAGTTTCCCAATGTACTTGAAACAAAGGCAGTAGGTGAATTATTGAATGAATTTAATGTGTTGCTACTTATCATTCCACCTGGCAAAGCTACTGACATTTGGCCGTTTGGACCTTGTATGACAGTGGGGTTAGTAAGTTGTGTAGTAAGTGGACCAGTAGAATTAGGATTAGATATGACGATAGGCCCTCCGGGTGGGAGACCTGTTGGAACCTGAATTTGCTGTTTAGCGATTGAAGACGTTGGCAAAGAAATTGATGCTGTGGTAGCAGTTGTCACTAAATTAGCCATCAAAACAGTCTGACCGGAGGGCAGAGTAACCAAGTTGGCAGAACTCCTCGATGATGATATTCCCGAAACTGTAATGGCTCCAGAAGGTGACGGAGTCCACACTTGGAGATTCTGGGGACCGCTCGTGGCACTATTAGTTTGCAGAGCAGCCATGCCAGCGGTCTGAGAAATGGCCTGACCTGATTGTATTAGGACTGATCCCGGGGGTAACGTTGAGTTGGAATGACCTTTCATTTCTTGAACCATAAATCTTCAGATAACTGATTACCTATATAGCTGATGAGTATGTTTAATAAACATTACGTTCCATAAAAACGAAATTTTTTGACCTAAAAAACAGGAATCATTTAGGACAAAATAACGCGAAAAACGTTTCAGACGACATTTAAAAACCAAGAATCAATTATGAAAGGAAACCAACTACAACCAATCCATTTTGTAACATTATATTAGGAGTATACACGAGTTATGTATGGGTATATTTTTGAAAAAAATTTTAGGAACTCACTGTTCTAGTGAGAACTTCCAAAAACAATTATTTCCTAGTCTTGTGACTGAACATTAATATTAGGTCAAGAAAAATGTTGAAATTTTTCTAAATTTAAAAACTACTGTTCGTGCATACAAAATAATGTGATACCTTCTGGAATAAAACTTGATTAGTCAGCTTAATGATATGAATGAATAAGATTTGGATCATTAACATGGATATGATTAGAAGTCGATTTTAAACATGGTATTATTCACCGATAAAAAATCCTAGAATAACGTATGATGATTCTAGTAAACATATCTCTACAACTGTAAACAGAACTGCCCGACAGTAGCTGCTACCTTGACGTGGTGGTCGGACTTGCCTATCGTGATCACCCAACCGAACTATATTGGCTGGAACATATGTTCCTGCAGGTCCTACCATGCCAGGCAGGTCGATTGGAGAACAATGAGACTAAACGCAGCCACTCGAGGTCTAAGAGCGAAGTCGTACTGCTGACTGCAGAGGGGTGTGAAAGCAGTAAGATGTGGCGACTTCACGAAACGCTATTCCTGGTGTCCTGAAACCCGGTCCTAAACTACATACTGCTAGTAAGGTAAGGCAGGGAAGCAGCCGTGGATTTCAGTAGCATCGACCGAACCGATGGATGCTCGAAAGGTCTTACCACCTGGCTCTGGGTGCGAGGAAGAGCGGAGTCAGCGCAGGTTCTGCTTGATAAAAGCATACGCAATGATCGCGAACAATGGTGGGTAGCGAAAGCAAGGGAGATGGATAAGGCAACGACGATAGGCAAAAGCAGACTACTATTCAGACTCATCAAGGAAACCGGTATTAAGAATCCGACTGTTAGTGAGACTATCCCGGAAAACGATGGGCTTATTATTCATTCTCAATACAGAAGATTCGATTGACGGGCAGAATACTTCAGGGATCAGTTCAACTGGTCTTCAGTAACATTTCGTTTGCCCACGATCTCCAGTCATCCTGAATGGCAAATCGACGTAGGTCCTTCGACTCTTTATAAAGTTGAAAAAGCCATAGAAATCTGAAGCGAGGAAGAGCAGCAGGTCCTGATAGACTTACTCCTGAGATTTCCAAAGATGGTGGTACAATTTTAGCAGCTAAACTGAGATCTTAGGTAGAATTCGAGAACTGGGCGTAATCCATCTGACTGGTCTCAATCCTTGATAGTCCCAAATTATAAGAAAGGCCCGACCGTAGCTGCTACCTTGACGTGGTGGTCGGACTTGCCTATCGTGATCACCCAACCGAGCTATACTGGCTGGAAAATATGTTCCTGCAGGTCCTACCATGCCAGGCAGGTCGATTGGAGAACGATGAGACTAAAAGCAGCTACCCAAGGTCTGAGGGCGGAGTCGTACTGCTGACTGCAGAGGGGTGTGACAGCAGTGAGGCGTTCCCCTCGGACAACCAGCATCTGCAGCGATGCTGCCTTCTCACAAGGAAGGAAGGGTTAGAAAAGGTCGGCCCTAAAAATGTCACAGCTCCCCTAACTCATGGATTTCCGTCTCCTTGGGTAAGGGTGCCCACTAAGGGCCTTTAAGAACGGAGCTAATCCTCAAAAAACATTTCAGAAAAAGGCCGTGCGTGACCGGCCTCAAGCAGTTGTCCCTTGGACTCTGCGGTCACGCACCAACACTAATCTATCTTCCTTTTCAGGTCTCTCAAGAAACAACCTTCCACGGTGTGAGCAGCCGGGAAGTGATAACCGCCCTCATACCCGCAACAGCACACGAGACCAAATTGTTCAAAATCAAATCCTTCCTACATTCCCTAATACCTATCTTATCTCCACGACTAACTCTTCTTACATTCATTTATCACAGTGCACCGTCAATGCAAACGATGCGAGTTCACGAAACGTCGTTCCTGGTCTCCTTAAACCCCGTTCCAAACTACATGTTGGAGCATTCAATGTACGGACACTGTGTCAAATAGGACAACAGGCATCATTAGCTAGGACTTTAGAATCTCGTTCCATCGATGTGTGCTGCGTCTCGGAAACACGCATACAGGATCCGAGTAGCATCACTCATTTGACCTCACCATGTCAAGATAAAGAAGCAGCTCGATTTACCCTTCGTGTATCCGGTAGCCCTGATGCTGCTTCTAGGGGCCTCGCCGGTGTAGGTATAGCATTGAGTCGTAGGGCAGAAAAATCTCTCCTTGACTGGATCCCTGTAGACAGTCGCTTGTGCGCCGTCCGACTGAACGGGACAGTAAAGGCTCGGAAAGATAAGGACACTCGTCGTTGCCTCTTCGTCATATCAGCCTACGCCCCCACTGACTGCAGCCCAGATGATGTAAAAGATGAGTTTTACAGAAAGCTTTCGAACCTCCTCCAAAAAGTTAAGCGCTCTGATATAGTTATAATGGCTGGTGACTTCAATGCACAAGTAGGTAGACTAAGTGAAAATGAAAGACACCTAGGTGGATGTTACGGTTTCGAGACTCAAAGAACAGACAATGGTGACCGTCTGTTGCAACTGTGCTCAGATAACCAACTATTTCTAGCAAACACTAATTTTAAGCATAAGGAAAAACATCTGTTGACCTGGTGACCCCCGAAGTCGTCTCAACGTTGGACACAACTAGATCATATCGCCATCAGCCACCGATGGAGGGGTTCGATAGAGGACTGCCGCTCGTTCTGGGGCACATGTTTAGATTCAGATCATGCACTAGTGCGAGCGCGTATTTGTTTGAGGCTTGCTGGACGTAGGAAAGACACCGTAAGGAAGCCTCTTAGGGCTTTACTTGATGATAATCAAGCTAAGAAAATATTTCAGGAGGAACTAGAAAAACAGTTAGGCGAGCATGCAAGTGATTCCCATCCTGAAGCAGGTTGGAATCATATCAAGAAGGCTGTGGAAACAGCAATGGTATCTGCTAGCAGGGTAAACCACAAGGCTAGGATGAAGCAGTGGATTTCGGTCGCATCCATCGAACCGATGGGTGCTCGAAAACTCATCCCACCTGACTCTGAGGATGACAAAGAGCGAAGTCAGCTTAAGCGCAGACTGATAAAATTCCTACGTAACGACCGCGAACAGTGGTGGGTGGCGAAAGCAAAGGTGAAGTAAAAGGCAGCGGCGAAAGGCAACACTAGACAACTTTTCCACCTTATTAAAGAAACCGGTATTAGGAACTCGAATGTGAGTGAGACTATCTCGGAAAAGGATGGTCTTATTATCCATTCTCAATCTAGGAGGCTGGACCGATGGGCAGAACACTTTAGGGATCAGTTCAACTGGCCTCGAGCCACACTTCGGTTGCCCACGATCTCCAGTCATCCTGAATGGCAAATCGATTTAAGTCCTCCCAGTTTACATGAAGTTGAGAAAGCTATAGGAAATCTAAGGGGAGGTAGAGCGACAGGTCCCGATAGGCTTACGCCCGAGATGTTTAAGGATGGTGGTCCGGTTTTAACGGTTAGACTGACCGAGATCCTAGGTAGAATCTGGGAACTGGATGTAATCCCATCTGACTGGTCTCAGTCGCTGATTGTCCCAATCTACAAGAAAGGACGGAAGTCCTCTTGTGACAATCACAGGGGAATAAGTTTAACTAATATAGTTTCTAAGTTGTTAGCCTCCATTATACTTAGACGTCTAACTAGAGCTCGTGAAGAGCAGACTAGAGAAAACCAGTCTGGTTTCAGACCTGGACGTGGTTGTATAGACCACATCATCACACTACGACAGGTCCTGGAACATAGACACACATTTAGATGTCAAACAATACTCGTGTTCTTGGACCTAAAAGCGGCATTTGACTCTATAGATCGTGAGGTTCTGTGGAGGTGGCTGTCATTGAAAAGTGTACCAAAGAAGTACATTAACCTTATACAAGCACTCTACTCGAACACCACTGGTCGGGTGAGAGCCTATGGCGAACTGTCATCTGAATTCTCTACATCAAGTGGTGTCCGTCAGAGCTGTCCACTCTCCATTCTTGTTTAACCTTGTCGTAAACATCCTCTTAGAGTTAATATTAAGCTCGTCAGATTTTTCAGGGGTTGACCTTCTACCAGGAGAATCGCTTGTTGACCTAGAATATGACATAGTTCCATTCGGTGAAGACGCTGACAAAATGCAGTTTTCTGAATATCATAAGCAACATTGCAAGCATGTTCGGGATACGGTTCTCACCCTCGAAATGAAAAATGTTGCTTCAAGATTGCGTTGAATCGGCACTTGAACTAGTGATAAGGAGTGAAGTAGTCGAACGTGTGGACCGCTTCACTTATCTTGGGAGTCTCATCAGTGCCGAAGGCCTGGTGACTGACGAAATCTCAGCTCGGATACAGAAGGCTCGATTGGCTTTTGCCAACCTGCGTCACTTATGGCGTAGGCGTGATATCCGTTCGCTAACCAAAGGGCGGGTGTACTGCGCAGCAGTTCGTTCCGTTCTCTTATATGGCTGTTAAACATGGCCGTTAAGAGTAGATGTTCGTAGGTTACTAGTATTCGATCATAGATGTTTAAGAAGCATTGCTCGTATATCGTGGGACAACCGAGTAAGCAATGCTGTCGTTAGGAAACGAGTACTAGGTAACGATGGCAGATCAATAGATGAAGTGGTGAAACTTCATCAGTTGAGATGGTTGGGACATGTGTTACGTATTCCTAACCACCAACTGCCGCGACGAGCTCTGTTTTGTGGTGTAGGAGTAGGTTGGAAGAAAGTTAGGGGCCACCAGACCAAAACATGGCAGAAATCCATGAAG